GCCGCCGCCGCAGCCGCAGCAGCAGCAGCAGCCGCCGCCCCAGGCCCCCCCCATGGAGCCCGAGGCCCTAGATTCCCGCAAGAGGCCCCTCGAAACGCCCCCCGAGGTGGTCTGCACCAAGCGGAGCAACACGGGAGGTGAGAAGGGGCTGCAGCTTGGGTGGCAGGGAGGACAGGAGCCTCGCCTTTCTCCATAGCCCCCCCAACACTCCAAGTGGCAGGTGCAAGAGTCTGGGAAGGGGCTGGCGCCCCTCCCAGAGGGGTTTGGGGAGGTGACTGGACCCCCTCCCCTTCTCGACGCGGCCCGGGGCTGCGAGCTTTGTCTGCGAGAAGGTTTGGGGGAGGGAAGGGGTGGTAAGTGTCCTTGGGGGGGGGGCACAGAGGATGGGGGCGTGGGTCCCTCGGGGCGAGCGATTCTGTGTCCTTGAGGGGTGTGTGATGTGACCCTTTCGGGTCTGGGGTTTTCCCCAGGCTTCTATCTGCTGATGATCCCAAATTTGTGCCCTGGGGAAGGAGAAGAGGAAAGGGGATAAGGAGGCCTGTGGACCCAAGATTCTTGGCTTCTCTCCCCGGGGATGTCCTGAACCGGGCTTGTCCTGAAGGAGGAATGTGTGGGTCATGGGCGGGATTGTGCGTGGGGACCAACTGGGTGGGTGTGTTGGGTGACATGGAGGAGAGAGTGGGTGTGTAAAGCTAAGTGGTAGGATGTGTGTCTGGGACAGGTGTGTGTGTGTTCATGTGTGTTCACATGTGAGCCCTGGATTGTGACATTAGGAATCATGGATAGGATGGAAAAGATGGTGTGTGTGTGTGTGTGTGTGTGTGTGTGTAAAATAAAAAATGAGAGGGGCTGGGCTCCATGTTTGAGACCCTAAAGGGGAGGTGTGCTTGTCACCCTTGCGGGGGCTGTAACAAAGTATAACACATAATTGAGAGGGGGTGTATGACATATGAGGGGGGGCACAGAACGTGTGAGCATGAGAGGTTGTGTGGGACAGGGACAGGCGGGTCTCTGTGTGTGACATCCAGGTATGTCCAGGCCATGGAGGGATTAGAAGGAGCAGGGGAGGGGATGTGACAAGAAAAGGGTGTGGGTGTGACTCCAAAGAGGCTGTGTCTGCGTGTGACACATGGAGGTGTGCAGGATGACATCAGAGGGGGGTGTGTGCACCTAGGAAGGTAGGTGTATGTGGAGAGGCTGAGCCTCTGGGGGTGAAATCCACGAGGGTGTGTAACAAGGCAAGGGAGGGGCAGATGCCCATGTGACAGGGCTGTAGTGTGTATGTAGGATGTGTGTGAGTGGTACCCAAGGGGTGTAAAAAGGGAAGACGTGTGCATGTGTGTGTGTCCATCCCAACAGTGTGTTGTTACAAGGGAGGTAGGGATCACTAGAGAAGAGAGCGGGATGATCGTGAGTGTGACCCCCAAAAATGTGTATACGTGTAACAAGGGAGGTGTGTGTATGTGAACTGACTGAGCGTGTGATCAGGGAAGATGCAGAGGTGTGTGTGTGTTTCTGTGTGTAATGGCTGAATGGCTTGAAGCGGTGTGTATGAGAGATTGAGGGAGCCATTGCTGAGTTGTATTATCTGAGGAGGTGTGTGTGCCAGAGAATAAAAGACCAGTTTGGAACTCAAGATGTGTGTCACAGCAAGGGGAACTCGCCAAAGAGGCAGTGACCCACCTGTCAGGACATTTTGGGATCCTCAGAGTGCCCTCACTGGAGGGAGACCTCAGATAAGCCCCTCCCCTCGGTCACCTTGGCCAAAATCTCTGCTTCCTCTAGCCTTTTCCTCCGGATGGGAGAAGAGATGGCTGGGGAAGAGCTGACCCCTCCCATTCCACCAGGCATTGGAGTAGAGGGAGTGGGGGCCTCCTGCCTTCTCTGGCTGAATGCATCCCATCCCAACCCCCCATCCAGGTGGGAGACCCCCTGGATCCTGCTGCCTGTGAGGGTGTCCAGCAGAAATTGAAGGAAAGGGAAGTTGGGGGAGGGGTGGGAGGGAGTTTCCTGTCCTTCTTCCTGCTTCCCCACCCCCACCCAGCACACCCGTGAATATGTCCCAGCCCCAGCCAACTTCCTTCCCCCCTTCCTGCCCCACTGCCTTTCCCAGGCCTGGGGACCCAAGAGGACCCTGAGCCCAGACAGGCTGCCCATCCTCGTAAAAGTAAAAACCAAATCAGTTGCTCTCCAGTCGTTTTTTGACTCTTGGCGACTCTGTGTGCATCTGAGTAGAACTGAGCTAGCTCCGCGTAGGGTTTTCAGTGGCTGGTGATTTGGAAATTGATTGCCAGACCTTTCTTCCAAAACAGCTTCAAGTGGCCTCACACTACCAACCTTTTGGTTAGCTGGTTGGTGAATGTGTTTGCACTACCTAGCAAGGGACTCCATCCTTCTCTTAAAGGGACAGAACCACTCACAATCTGATTGCTCCAAGCCATAACTGTAATGTAATGTAACAATAACAATGCTGTTCCTCCTACTGCTGCTAGTTGTAATAATATTCGTGGACTCAGCACTTCCTAGGAGTCAGGCTTTGAGGTATGGGTTACTTTCTCACTGTAATCCTAAGGGAAGGTGGTTGCAGCTGCATTTTACAGATGAGGAAAACTGAGGCTCAATTGCATGAAGCCACTTGCTCAAGGCCACACATAAATGATGGAACTGAAATGTCTCCAACCCAGAATCATGTACTTAACCACTGTACTATCCTCTTCCCTCCGCAGTGGGAAAACTAGGAAAAGCCCTTAGGGACCATCTCCTCCAACCTCCTCCTCCCACCCCTCCCACCTCCCGGTGGAGAGACTGAGCCCAGCTGGGCTAGAGACTATGACTTTGATCTCAAAACCAGGGGTTCCTTCCAAGAACACCAGGATGGCTCTGAGACCCTGGATCCACCCTACCCCTTTACTAAATGGAGAAATAATTACCACAACCATAATGGTAATATTAGCTACCAATATGATTAATGCTATACATGGAACATTTCATTTAATTCTCCCAACACATGACAATGTAATAAGAATGGTCATAATAAAACCATTGCCATCAAGTCAATTCCAATTACAACCCCATAGGTCAGAGTAGAATTGCTCCGTAGGGTTTCCAAGTCTGTAAAGCTTTATGGGAACCCTGGTAGTGTAATGGGTTACACAGTAGGGCTGCTGCTATCCGCAAGGCACGGTTCAAATCCTCCAGCTGCTCCTTGGGAGAAAGATGAGGCTTTTTGCCCTGTAAAGACTTACGTCCTCAGACACCCTACAGCAGGGTCACTGTGAGTCAGAATCGACTCAATAGCATGCAGCAGCAAAGCTTTACAAAAGCAGACTGCCTCATCTTTCCCCTGAGGAACGGTTAGTGGATTTGAACCACTGACCTTTGCGTTAGTAACCCAACACATAACCCACTGTGCCCCCAGGGCTCTTATATGGTGAATAATGAATTCTAATAATGGATAATATTTATGGTGCGACAGTATTCTAGGGAATCCTGGCGTGGTGCTATAGGATAAGTATTCCATCGCAAGGTTTGTTCGAACTGCAAGGTCGGCAGTTCAAATCCATCAGCTGCTCCTCGGAAGCCTCATACAGGGTCACTATAAGTCATAAGTTACTCAACAGCACTTAACAACAACAGCAAGTGTTGTAGGGATTTCTAGGGAGTGTTGTATAAAGTGCTTCAGATGGAGCAATCATTTCATTCTTACCACAACTCTCCTACAGATCAAAAACCAAGGCACAGAGAGGTTAAGTATCTTGCCCAAGGTCAAGCAGCTAATTAGAGACAGAGCCAGGATTTAAACTAGGGAGGCTGGTTCCATGGTGTGAGTGGACATTAGAGTAGACCTCATTCTCAGGTGATGAGACTGAGGCTCAGAGGAGTGAGGGGCACCTCAAGTGATGGTAGATGGGGCAGGTCAAACTCTTGCCCAGGGCATCAGCTGACTCTCTTGATCATTCCTGGGGGCTGCTGGGAGAATTAGAGGTGATGACATTGTTGAAACTGACATGTGCGCACTGTGACTGGCTGGTAGAAGATGACTGGAAGAACAGACTCTAAGAGCAGGAAGGAGTGGATGAAGAGGTTGAACTGAAATCCCAGTCAGGGACTCATCAGAGAAATGCTGTTGTTATTGTTAAGTGCTGTCAAGTTAGTTCTGACTCACAGTGACGCTGTATAGGGTTTCTGAGGATCCGTTGGTAGGTTTGAATTGCTGACTTGTGAATAGCAGTCCAGTGCTTATAATACAGTGCCACACCAGGACCCCCATCAGAGAAATAAATCCAATCTGGTGAGACAGTAACCCAGAATGTCCCTCTTAAATAGACCATAGCTCTTAAACTACAACTACAATGGATGGTCCCCATACTCCTGTTTTCCCACCTCTGTCACCCCAAAATTATAGAAACGGTAAGCCCCGCACGCATACATAATCCCACCAAGAACTAACCAACTCCCAACATCCCTCACTCTTTAACACAAAGACAGTGACGCCAGGATTAAGAGCCCTAAAGTGAAACTTTCTCAGTGCTGCTTCGTGTGGGACCCTTGGCCAGTTATTTCACTGCTCTGAGCCTCAATTTCCTCATCTGGAAAATGGGACCCCTGAGATCTCTCTCTCTGGGTTGCTGTGTGGGTTAAATGAGATTAGGGATATGAAGCATATAGCATAACACTTGGCAGGTAGTAAGTGCTCAGTAAACAATCGCTGTCAGAATGGACTTTACAGCAGCGGGTTAGGGGGATCATCGTTGTGGGGATTATTTTGGGCTCCGTGGTAGAATTCGTGCCTTTCGTGTGAGAGGACCTGAGCCAATCAATGTACCGTGTGCTCAGCAACCACCTCTCTTGTCAGTGAAGGCTTGGGTGCTTGTGTGTTGCTATGAAACTAGACAGGTTTCAGCAGAGCTACTGCACTAAGACCAACTAGGAAGAAAAGCCTAGTAATCTATGTCTAAACATCAGCCAATGTAAACTCTATAGATCGCAATGGTCCAACCCATGGGAATGGTGTAGCAGCGTTTTGTTCCGTTGTACAAAGGGTCATCATGAATCGGGGTCCAACCTGATGGCTGTTGTTGTTGTTAAGTGCCATGGAGTCTGTTCTGACTCATCATGACTCTGTAGGGTTTCTGGG